ACTGGAAAGTCACCAAGTTCACCACCCGCCATCCTCTTTCACGCCCAAACTTTCTAATATAAAATTTCAATCAATAAATAACAATAATAAATTTCTAATACAAAATAGAAATCAATTTATAGTTCAATAAAAAACAACAAATTACCTGGTTGTGACTTGTAGAGACTGCCGACTGGAGTACTGCCATCCAGGTTCGAAAGTGGTCTGAGGAATGTCGGCGGGCTAGCAGTAGCAATTCGCGGTGGACCTCGAGCCTGGCGGTGGTCTGTGGACTGTGAGACTGATGGTGGCCTGAGGAATGGCGGGTGGGTGTGAGACGGTGACCTGAGGAATTGATGTGAGCTTAATTGTACATGTTTCTCTTGTTAGTTTGAATCTATTTGTTAGGTTTAAGTTCATGAAAATGTTACTTTAAATACATATTCCATTGTTTTCTCATTAAGATATGGTTTCACACTTGATTTGAATGTTTTACGGCGTTTGTTAGTGTTTTGGAACCATTGTAGGTCAATTACAAAAACAATGGAAGTTCTAAGACAAGTTTGGAGCCAAAACAAAGTAAAGGTGAAGCTAAGGAGGTGGCTAAAATGCTTCAAAGAGAGCCAAAGAGTGGTACTTTCAATAGATTTGATCACAAGAACAAAACAAGGGAAAAGTGGAGCAAAAGACCAAAGAGTTGTAATTCCCGCTAAATTCGGCGACACCTTAGTATTTTGATCATATCTCACTCTAGGAATGTCCGATTGAAGTGATTCTTATGCCATTGGAAAGAAGACCCGAAGGGATACAACCTATGTTGCATCCGAAAACTTGACGTGTCGAGAAATTCCAGTAAGTTGTGCACGAAGACAGCAGAAAACTCGACACGTCGAAAATCCTGATCAGAACTTGGAAAGTGGCGTCCTAATTTATTCCTACTTGACTCCCACTATAAAAGGCACATCTTCCATCAACCCTAGAGACCCCTAAGCTACGGTTTGAAGACAAGAAAGAGGAGAATCAAGAGCTACAAATTGTTTTGGAAAGAAAGAAGAAAAGCTAGGGAGATTTGGGAGAATCACTTGGTATAATTCTTTTATTCTCTTTGATAACTTATAAACTCTTTATTTTATTGCTATGAATTCCATCATAGCCATGTGTGGCTAATTTACCTTAGAGATTCTTGGGTAAAAGTGTTTATAAACCTATGTGCCTGTGTTCTCAGATTCTTTAATATATTAAATTTGGGTTTTATATTTGTGTTGCAATTGTGATTTATCTTGTTGATGCTTGTTATTAATGGCCATAGTTACTTGTTTCATAGATATCTTTATGTCATAACGGGAGTTAGGCATAATTTTGGGCACACACAATTGCACTTAACTGTTGCACCTTGGGAGAGGCCATATTGGTTAAAGAAGTTGATTCTTGATTATTGCACCTTGGGAGATGGTATTAGTTAGGAATTTACACTGAATGCTTGTTCTTACATTGTTGAGTGTTTATATCACGGGAGTGAATATTCATTTGTATTGTTTTAGGTTAGAGATTACGGAAGTAACTCTTTCCCCTCGTTTGCATTATCACGCTTGTTTAAACCTATATTTAATATTGTTCTTAAGATTGGCACTAGGTGATTAAATACTTGAATCCCAAGAATCTCACTCTTTCTCTATTGTTTTCACAAACCTGCTACTTTACTTTCTTTTAATTAGTTTTATAATCAACCATCCATGTCTTTTGTTGGGATTAGCTTCACAAGAATAAATTAGTAGCTAGTGCTTGATACGCCCCATTTCTCTGTGGGTCCATAATCCGATACTCTGGGTAATTATTTGTTTGTGAAATATACTGCAATCAGGAATTGCAGTAGATGGAAGCAACAATTCACCTAAGTAAATAAGAAAGCAGTTCGCCTAAGTGAATAAGAAAGAGAAGAAGAAAGTGAAGTGGAGAAGGAAAGTCTAAGAGGGTGGATGTGAAAGAGAAGAAGAAAGTAAATAAGGAAAATGGAGGGTGGTAGGTGGCAGCAAAGACTGACATTAAAGTAGAAAATAAAGAAGAAAATAAGGAAGAAAGAAGAAAGACAAAAAAAAAAATAAAATATGTTAGCCAGATTCGATGGGTACCTATGATATTGTTCACTCGTGTATTTTCAATTTTGAAAACAACTTTGGATTGTGTTTCTAATTTCTTGAAAAAAGGGGGAATAGTTCTCAACTTTGGAAATGAGAAAATAACATAATAAACACCTAGACTGTTTTCAATTTTCAAAAATTCTTGAGAATTTCCTGTTAGTAAACCCCCCCCCCCAATTTCACCTTATATATTTGTGTTTTGCATGGAACGATTGAGCATCTGATTAGTAAAGTTGTCCAGGATGGGGAATGGAAGGGATTCCAAATTGCAAGAATGGGGCATATGATCTCTCATATTTTCTTTGCGGATGACCTTGTGTTGTTTGCAGAGGCTAGTGTGGATCAAGTTTCAATTATTAAGAAATGCCTTGATAATTTTTGTAGAGCTTCAGGCCAAGAGGTAAGCTTACATAAATCTCATTTGTTTGTCTCACCTAATGTGTGCCATGTGGTTACAGTTGAAATAAGCAGGATAACTGGTATTCCAAGAACTCAAAATCTTGGACGATATCTTGGAGTTCAATCTATCCATGGTAGAGTTAAGGCTGATTTATTTGCTAATATTATTGAAAGAATCTATTCTAGACTTGAGGGATAGGAAACCAAGCATCTCAGCTTTGCTGGAAGATTGACTTTGGCTAAGTCAGTGCTTAGCTCTACACCTTTCTATGTCATGCAAACGCCGAATCTTCTGCTTGGAGTCTGTGATTCCATTGACAGGAGGATCAAGCAATTCTTGTGGGGGAGGTAACGATAGTAAACGAAGTATTAACCTTGTTGGGTGGGATATTGTCACGAAATCTAAGGATGATGGATGGCTGAGTATACGCAGAGCAAGGGATATGAATGTAGCCTTTATGGCTAAACTTGGTTAGATGATGTTTAACGAGAAGGATGCATTATGGGAACGGGTGCTTCATGCCAAGTATTTTAATGGTGCAACTTCCTTTTAGGAGTTAGAGTGTCCCATAACCTGTTTTAATGCGTGGAAAGGAATTGTGAAAGCAAAAGATATTCTAGTGCATGGAGTTTGAAAGCGGGTGGCTAACAGAATATCAACCAAGTTTTGGAAAGAAAAATGGTTGATGCCGAAAGCGTTAGAGTGGTATGCGTTAGTGGAGGTTCTAGTGGAGGATATGGATGCTAGTGTTGCGGACTACTGGAGTGAGCAAAGAGGATGGGATGACTTCCTTTTTCAAGGGATACTACCGGAGGAGGTCACAACCAGATTGGAGGCTTCTATGCTGTCAAAAGGAATGGAAGATGGTGATGGACTTTGCTGGATGCTCGCTAATGATGGTAAGTTTTCAGTTTCATCAGCTTATGGGTGTCTACAGAATTTTGCAAGGCTTGAGGATGGCAAGAGCTGGGAAAGACTATGGAAATTGAAGGTTCCAAACAGGATCTCGATGTTTCTTTGGTTGCTGAAGCATGATAGACTACTGACGAACCACGAACGTCATAGAAGAAGATTCATTGACCATGATGGATACTGTTGGTGCCGAGATAAAGTGGAGGACATTGATCATGTGATTAGATGGTGCCCGAGAGCCTTGGATGTGTGGCGTAAGTTGCCACCAACGAATGAATTAGATCGAGATTAGAGGTTGTCCTTTGATGGGAAAGGAGCTTGTAGGTTGGTGGAAGATGGTCAATTGCTGATGGCGACCACACCCTGGTGGATTTGGAAGTGGAGGAATGAAGGTATCTTCACTAAAGGTGGCGACAAAATTAAACACAAGGCGGACTGGATTCCAATCAAGCGGTTGATACGAAGAGAGCTTTTGATAAAGTGATATGGGGGTGGTCGTGGGATGGGGAGTATTAGAAGAGAGTTGCTAAGGTGGGTGAAACCTGATTCTGGTTGGGTTAAGCTTAATACTGATGGCGGTCGAAATGGGAATTCAAGAAGGACTGGTTGTGGGGGAATTATTAGAAATAATAGAGGGGATTGGATTATTGGGTTTACAATAAATATTGGTATGCTTAATTGAAGAGGCTGAATCCTAGGCTATTCTAAAGGGTTTGAGACTAGCATGGGATAAGGGATTTACAAAAGTGTGCGTGGAGACTGATGTCAGGAGAATTGTTGATAAACTAAGCTGTAGGGACAATTATGAGAGATTTTATGTCAATGGTGGAAGGAGAAGGATTAACAAGTTAAAATTGTTTATGTTTTCAGAGAACAAAATCGAGTGACAGATTGCTTGGCTAAGCGAGCCTTGAGTTAGGAGCGTGGGATGAGAGTTTGGGCTCAACCGACGAGGAAAGCTCTCGCGTTGTTAGTAGAGAATGATCACGGTGTTCCTCAGGAACGTATCATTTATAATGTAGTCTAATGGGGTTGGCCCCCTCCTCTTGATTCATTTTTTTTTTGAACCGTGCATCGCACAGGTAGAATACTAGTATGGTAATAAGTAAAAGAAGATGATAATAAATGTAACCATAATAATGAATAAATATGTAAGTAAATAATTGTGTGAATGTAGTTATAGTAACATATAGATTGATAGTTGGATTTTTTTCTATTTAGAAAACAGTTTTTAACATTTTTTCAATTTTCTAGAAAATTAGAAAATTGTTTCATATTTTTAAAGTGAAAAACTGTACTAACAAACATATTTTATGTTTTCTATTCTCTAATTTCCCCCATTTTGGCCAAGCACATTATACACAGATGACACCCCAATTAAATTCTCATATGAGAGGTTGTCAGTAGCATTCAAAACAAAATTTTCATTTTTGAAATTTTCCAGTTAGTAAACGTTTTAAGGTTTTAAAAAATAAAAAATAAAAATTGACAACTCAAATGGACAATGGCAATAGTCGCAAAACAAAAGGCGGAATTATCTATTCCTATACCTATAACTATAATTTCCCCGCACTCCGTCGCTCTACCCAGAGCGATCTCAGACAACAGAAGCCATTAGAAGCGAACGCCACTGCTTTTGACGATGGCCATAATCGCCGAATCGTCAGATGAGAATTCAAAAGCGCCGCCGTCCCCCGTCGCCCCGTCACTCCCTCGACAGCGAGGAAACTACTCAGACAATTTGGAAACCCTAGCACAGGCTGCACCGTGGATTGACGATGCTCTGCAACAGGCGCGGCAGGCCCAGCAGACTGTAGAAACTGTAATAGAGAGTGCAATCACCGTAACCAAATCTCGATTGGATCGTATCCTGACCACATCGTCTGCTCATTTTAATCAAACTCTTGTAATATATTCCTATTTCCTCTTTTAGCTTTGGTATTCTTAGCTTGCTAATCAGTACTTTGGCCCCATTTTATTTAGCGCAGAAATGAATACTTCCTCGTATTTGTAGTATTTGAAATTTTACAATAGCCAAGTTAATGGTTTATATGGTGATACAATCAATGGTGATATGTTTTAAAGCATAATGATTGAAGAGAAACCACAAAATTTGAATTCTTGTACTGATCCTAATATGAATACAAAGTCATGCATTCAGATCCAAAAATTGAATATGAGATTGTGTATGATGCACAAAAATTAGTCCTGTTTCTTTATGACGATGATTTTGATTAATGATAAAATGGATGCAGGATTCCTTGCAAGATGTTAAGGCTGAATATCATTTATATGAGGACTTAACTTTTGGGAGGATGAAAGGTTTGTACTACTTATAAGTGTATTTAACAATTCTATTATTATTGTTTCTGTGTTATTGTGTTTTTCCTAATAATAAATTGTTTTTGCAGAGGGTATTTGTATTGCAGCTTCACATCCTCTGATCACAACAGGAGCTTTTCTTAGCCTTGGATTCTTGGGTCTGAAAAGTAAGTCATTTTATATTGATAATAAATTTTCTTTTCTGGAAACCACATTGTGTAAAGCAGTTACCATACTTGAACAACTGCTATGTCAATTAAGCAAAATTATCTGTTTTTCATTTGCTTCGGGGATTATATGGTGTAAGGGTTAGGATGGGCAAATCCCTGGACAATATCATATTTATAATAATCTCAATTTTGACTTGAATGTTGCTGGGAGGGTGTGTTATAGATTGAGTATTCATCTGGTTATTGGTGTTTGAATCTTTGGAGTCACCCCCAATAATTTATGAATGAAGACAGTCTTTATAAAAAGGAAAAGAAATAAGAAAGAAAATTACAATTGATGTATGAAGCTAGTGATTTCTAAATGTGTTTGCATGAGTGACTTATTAGGCTGGTTACTGATGTCACACGAACTGCTCAAATCCTTTTTCCTTTAGCCCTGAGAGTTGTTTACTACCCACAGGACCAAGGCGATTTTTGTACTACAAAGCAAGAAGCATATTTGTCAGTGAAGAGGTAATAGACTGTTTTTACAGCAGTCAGTGTTTTTTCTCTACAAATATCTGTGAAAAAAATATTTTAGTTATTGACAAGTAAAAAAGCTTGGACCAATGGACCTAGTTAGGGCGTTAGGCTTCATCAACATGCTGGGTAGATAAAATAAACAGACATTAAAGAAGAAACCATACAAATTAGTAAAGCATGACTATAAGAAAAAGTTGGAGACATTCTAAGATGCAAAGAATCAAAAGAATAATAAGTAAAACTGTAAAAGGTTAAAGACATAAATTCAAGGTTCATAAGATATAAGAACTGGTTAATTTACTTTCAGTTTTGATGGGATAAAGCTTAGAAAGCAATGCCTACCAATTATGGGGGAAGGCAGAAAACGGATGAGTGGGGGCAGAGAAAGTAACATTACCTCCCACTAATCTTGATTTAAGTATATTTCAGCACTCTTTATATTGTAAGGCTGTAGTAATACAGAGTTCTATTGCTGTGTGCAGGCCATGCTTTCTAAGGCTGATGCAAAAGTCAAAGAGCTGAAGAAATCCATTGATTTTCTGAAGGCAGAGAGTGAGAAATGGGAGGTATTTCTTTTGCACCTTTTATCTTGGTTTATATTTGGAACACTTGATATTAAAGTTCTGTTTGATAGCTAGTAATGCTCAAATTAATTATACCATCTTGTGAAGATTATGCTTGATCTCTCAACATGACATTCTCTTTCCTCACTTTTCAACATCACCCCCACCCCCACCCCTCATGACAAAAAATAAATTTAGAAAATGGACAGATTTAATTTCTTGTGCTGCTGTGTTGGGGGAGTGGAAGGGAGATTTGATGGGAATGATTCATTTTCTACGTAAATTGGAGTCCACACAGTGCATTTTGTGCCAAAGTTGATTTTTAAAACTTGACTAGCAGACTTGTGCTCTCCATTATTAGTTGTAAATAAAGATGCTCAAGTAACTAAGAGATTCCTTAATCAGTTGACTATTTGGGTGCAAAAAAGTGAGAAAATGGGTGTAGACTGCGGAGAATTGCATTTTGTTTTCCATGAGTCAAGCTACTGTTTGTGACATGAAAGATTGGAAGTTCTTATTGTGTTTGTCAATTTGCCTACATATTTTTATTTTTATTTATTTATTTACTTATTAAAGCTTGGTTCTCTTGGCTGCACTATGGATGATTAATTTACTGATACTTGCCACTTTTTGGTTAATATATAATAGAAATTGTAAGCTGGGTCCTTTATTATTTTGGTATTATATAAATAAACGTGTAATTCCCCCTTTCTATTCCTTGAAGAAGCTGGTGTTTAAAGAATAAATACTTACAAGCTGTAAGAAATTGCTGGTCACCTAATAATTTCCCTTTAAGCAGTGAATTTATCTTCCCCTTTTGATATATTATATTGTAAGCTAATAAACATGCTTAAACCATTTCAGAAGAACGCAGTGCAAGCTGAACAGGAGCTGATACGGGGAAAGACAAAATTGAGGTTTGTGGTTGTTGCTGGTGCCATGCTCAAGTTTCAGTGAGCATTATTTGTTTGTTTTGGTTGGTTGGATTGTCTTGCTAAAATTTTTTGTTTCACCAGACAAGCTGGGAAACAAATTAGGAGTGTTATTCGCTCTGCCTATAAGATAGAAAGACAAGCTGCAGGTTGATAAAAAGGTCCAAGATTTTGTTAATTATATATTATGCTGTCTGTTTCTGTTATTAAATTCCCTTTTTTCCAGGTCTGAAAGATGTCCTCAAAGAGCTTCCACGAAGAGAAGCTTCTTTGTTTAGATCACAAGTAAGTTTTTTTTGTTAAGTTTGCTTACTATGGATATTCATTCTTACTCATCCATGTTTTGGAAAAAAACTCCTATGAGACTGTCTCACGGGTTCCTCGTCCGTGAGACAGGTCGGGTTCTTTATAAGTATTGCATTTTCTCTCATAATTATTATGCTTTCCTTCATAAGTAACTCTTTAACTCTTCCACCCCTAAATATTTCATTTGGATTTAAAAGTATTACAGTTTTCCTCAAAAGTATTATATTTCCACATATATAAAGTATCACACTGCCCCTCATAAGTAACAATCAAATTATCTGAGTAGTATTACATTTTCTATCACAAGTCCTACATTTCCATCTAAACCCGGCCGGTCTCATGGATAAAGATTTGTGAGGCGATGGTGTTGCAAAAATTGCCCTATGCTCCCCTAGGCCAATGCGTATTCTGATGTAGGCACCTATTTGGCGGCCGTATGACTAGTTGGTCGAATTGACCGACTAGTTGAACAAGTTGGCCATTTTCCTTGTGTGTCACCGCTGCTTTCGTTGGAATTAGCACACCCTCTCAGTCGCCCATCACTTTGTTGCCCATCATAGTCGTAGGTGGCCACCTCACCCATTGCATTCGTAGAGCCCCTTGCCTTGTCGGACGGCTAGATTTCCTTCGCTTGTCAAAGTCCATCATTGCCAGCTCGCTATAGCCTCTTGGAAGTCATCTACTAATTGCATTGCTGAAGTTGAAGAGAGATGGTAATGCTTCATCAGTGGAAATATGAAATTTTGGGACTTGAAATTAGGGTTAGATTTTTAGTATTTGGAGAGTTTGGGTTTGGGCTAAACTTATAAGCTTTGGGCTAGACTTTCAAGTTTTGGGCTAGGGTAAGGGCTTTATGCTTTATTGTTTTATCAAATGTAAAACAGATTTTTTATAAAGGAACCTAGCCCCCCGCGGGGAGGCGGCTAGGCGCCCATCCACCTCCCTATGAGCACCCTAGCGCCTTTTACAAACTTGTGAGACGGTCTCACAGGAGTCACCTTATTTTTTGACTTTTGAGCTCTAGTTTTTGTTTCCTTTAATTTCATTTAGAAATTAGAAATTAACAAAGAGTGGCTATAGTATGTTCTTGGATAATGAATATCATTTTTCTGGTTTCAGGTTTCCAACCTTGCTTCAGAGGCAAAGAAAGAAAGGAATTTTCTTACTAAGGAGGTTACAAAAATAAGCAATCATGGCATCTCGGTCTGATTCAACCATTCTCTATCCACATACTCTCTCTAGTAGTAGTAGTTTGACAGATGGATAATTGTATAAACTGTTCCACCCAAATAAAAGCAATATTTAGGAGTTGTGATTATGAATTTACCATGAGGGAGGGGAGAGGGGGGCTTCATCCCACAGGAGAACAAGTTTTTCTTACAACTCTCAGTCAGGCCAGATGGAAGTATTGGCCTTTTTAGTGATGGTGAAATGTTCAGTCAGGCCAGATGAAATGCTCAGTATCAGAATGCCGTATAATATGGCACTTTAATTACTTGAAATTATTTTGAGGCAAGGCTTCATATGTTTATCTTTTGACCTTATTTTGTACGTTTTTATCATGACCAACGATTTGGAGATGACATGACAGTTTTGTGCATTTTAAAATCTTTGGATTTTTTTTTTTTTAGTGTGTAAAGTATCAATGCCATTACGTTTTACTAAAATCAAAGTTACCATTTGCTTCTCTCAATTTTTCATAGTTGATCTCTCAACAGAAGTCCCTATGTTATACAATTCAATAAGCCTTAGAAAGACTCTTGTATAAATAGTGGTGCAAATTCACTTCCTAAATCAATGTGGGACAAAAGTTTATTCTTTTTCCTTTCATTTTTTTCAGTTCAATGCATCTACTTTGAGAATATCTTATTTATCCATTATCCGTTTTGAACGTACAATATATCAATCTCTTTCTCTCACTATGAAGAATCCGAATCCACTTTGACGCGAATTAAATCGGAAGTGGACTCCACTAATAATTGTACCACAAAATAGTCACTTAAAACATTTATATATATATATATATATATATATATATATATATATATATATATATATATATTAATTTGACAGGTAACATTTGGTGAATGAATTATTTTATTTGACATAATAATTAAATTAAAATATTTAATTATGACAAGATTTTTAAATAAATAATTTTATATTGTGTGCATTTGGCTAGTATTATTTAAAAAGAGAAAATAATTGTGACCAAGTAATGGTCACTTATAAAAACATTAAAATTGACAATAGTGACACTATTTCAACTTATTTTAGTGACAAATATGTTGCCACTATTTTTAAAGATATTAGTGACGATGATGATGACTACAAGAAATTGAATTGTTGTTACGACTTTAGTTGCCATTAGATCAATTTTTTTGTAATAACATATTTGGTCACAAAATGTACATTTATTGTGACCAGTATTATAATAACTCAAATACTACTTTTAGTGTACGTATAGATTGTCACAAAAGCTTGAGTAATTGTGACAATTTTTCAAAAGTCGTCACTACTACAATAGTGACGGAGGATATAGTGACGACATGTGACGACTTCAAAAATTGGTCACTAATTTCAATAGTGACCAAAATTGATAGTTTTGGTGACAACTTCTGTTGTCACTAAATGTCAAATTTCTTGTAGTGAATTACACACTTTCTTTCCACAGCGTGGAACCACAAAAACCCTCAGGTCGTTCCATGTCTATTAAGAAACCGATACATCCATTTCGATGAACTTTCAAGTCTCGCTAAACGGCTATGGCAAGTATCATACTAATGGATTTCATTCTCATCACAAGAGAATATATATCGAAGTAACCGTGGCACTCGCGTTGCATGTAATTTACAATTACAAGCCCGACCATTTACTTCAATATAACCAACCGTTCTTTTTTTTTTTTTTTTTTTTTTTTTTTTTTTTTTTTTTTAAATCTTCCGACATGTGATCCATTAAGATCCAAAGATTTTACAACCAGGAGGAAGAACAACCGGTTCCAAGTATGATTCTCTAAGACAGAATCTACTTCACTCTTTGCAGACTCTTTCCACATTGGTCATCTCGTAGAAATCACAGCTTCTACATACGTTTGAGGCTAATTTTTCTAACACACTTGTTAGAAAATCCGGTTCATTTTCTAGCAAATAAGTTATAATATGCGCATCACACTCTAACATGTACGTCAGAAAATCTGGACGAAAGGATTTTTCAATCCTCGCTCGCTTGCTATGTCTAGCTTTGAGCTCGGGTTCTCTTTCATACCCTCCAACCATTATTTCAACGTGCTAGGTTGCTTTATTGAACCTTCACAGAAATGCATCTTCTAAAGAACGATGAATTTCTTGATTCAATTTATCGTGTTCTTATGTACATCCAAACTATAGGACGCGTGTACTAAGAACCAATAGACGCCTTTGGCAAGACACCCCCACATTTCAGATATTCGTAGGAAAGCTTCCTACGTACTAACAACCCATAAGAAGCCTTATCGAGTTTCATGCAGGTAATCCTTATTTAAAAGGTACTTACTTGCCCAAAGTATTGTCTCACTCCCACATACTTTGAGGTAGACCCGAACTTATCAACGTCTTGATATGTTCGGCAACATCGTTCGATTGAGGTGAACACCGTGCCGTATGCTCGAGTACGATACTAATGCTTGCGCAGAAACCACCAATAGATGTTTCATGTTCACCACATCGATCGCTCATAACTGCATTAATCCATGATTAATTTGGTTTTCTCTTTTATTCTTATAAAGAATAAACATGTGCTACACGTTAGCACATCTCGTAGAAGCTAATAGATTAGCCTTTACGAATTCATTCGGGATTGACCGAAGCCAAAACCACGAATCAATGCTTCCAACATTGAAGCATCATTCGATGCTTAACAAAGCACCAAATCGTTACTGTGAATTTTAAATGCACCAACCGGTTGCACTATAATTCAACAGCACAAAGAGTTGCTAATTAAGCACATTCCAATGCTATCCAACTTGATGATTAAGCAAAACAAAGCTTAATCACAAATGTGATTAGGTGCTGCCATGAACCATTCATACGTTAGTAAACTCCTTTAAGTGCTAGTCACATAGCACTTTATAATGCTAAATTTAATTAGCCCTTTGCACAGTGCTAATTCAACATTTTGGACGTCTAGTGCTATTAAGCACTACAATTAGCACTTCAACAATGCTAAATTCAATTAGCATTTTCCGTTAAGCTCAAGCTTAATTTTGACATCCCAACAATTTGTCTCAAATTACATTTCATACTAGTATAATTTGGAATTTTTGATCAAAGTTAATTCCAACACAATTAACAATATCAAATCAATCAAATTTTTCCGACTAGTTGAATCAAGCTTATATAATTGTACTAAGAATATTATTTAAAATATTCAACACTTGAGCTATGACGCTCACGATTATATAGCTATCCCAATTTTTGACAAATTGATCATACTTGAAATCTGTATCAAACTAGAACCGAAGTCCTTATGAGATTTCAAACATGTAACACATTTGTTACATTCCGTTTCGGCCGTTAAGCCATTTTAGCATTTTCCACATAATGCTACATAATGCTCAAGCATTCTTATTGAATGTTTTATATATTAAAATATCACACAAGAATATTTTAAAATATACAAAGTTCAAAACACAAATGGAACAATTCATTTTTATTCAATAATAAAAATGTATCGCAAGGATACTACAACATTTATTCAAAAATAAATAAATAGGAAAACACATTGGAAACAAATTTCCTTATTCCTATCTCGTAGTAGTTCCTCAAACCCGTGTGCCTTGTTCGATTTTTCAACTGTCCAGTCCATGAAGGGTGGTTCTTTAACGCACAACAGGGATACCTGTTAAAGAAACCTTGGTTGTGACCTCACTCGTCCAACCATCCACATTCTTTAACCAAAGCGAAGTTGTCCTCAACCTTTTCACCAGGATGACGGTTCACTTTATAGTGGCTGCTCACCTCCTTCTCATAATCATCTTCAAGACAACACTTTCGTTTGCCTTTACTTTGATTATGGTTGAAGTCGTTGTTCACACTATAATAATCCTCAGAACATGTAGTGATCACGTAGTCACTGGATCCTTCGTGGCTTTTAGCCGATCCACTAGGCATCACAATAGGTACCAATTGCGTGCCTCCAGCTACTGGTCTACCGGCTCGTGAACCAAAGTTCCCCGGAGCACCATCTTGTGATTTTGCAACTTCCATGGAAAAATCATTTCCAACGTTGCTGCCATCAACTGGCATCCCGGAATGTGCAACATCGTTGCCGTTCCAAGCATTTGAATGTGCATCACGAGCAACATTCACTATTCCAACACTCTTGGAATCCATCGACTTGTTCATACAGAGAAAATAAGGTTTTAAGATTGTAGGAAAATATTGAACCAAGTCGATTTAACACAAAATAATATATATATATATATATATATATATATATATATATATATATATATATATATATTGGTTCTTGTGAGGTCAAGTCTTCCCGTGCGTTCAGTGCGGCATACACCATTACGTATGCATAAATGCACCATACATTGTTCGAAAATACACCAGAATGAAATGCCAAAAAATGCACAAAAAAAAAAAAAATACACCACACATAATGGTGTATTTATGAAAACTGTGCAGTGCATTTATGCATACCTAATGGTGTATGCCGCACTTACCGCACGGGAAGACCTGACCTCATAGGAACCTGACCCTATATATATATATATATATATATATATATATATATATATAATTTTATAATTCTGAAGTATATATAATATATATACACACAAATACATGTAAATCAAACCACAAAACGGAACTTATAATCCTCCAGATTATAATTTCAACCAAAGGAAATGAAGTAAGGATTTATTGCTTAAAAGCATAATCCCAAAACCGAAAGAAGAGAATAAGGGAAGAGGGTTAGTACGAGTCGAGCGAAACACTCTTTCCTTAAAACCTTATTTGCTACCTCCCAAAAGTGCTAGGAGCGTTGTAGCCTAGGTTTTCCAGGATAAACCGTACTACGGTTCAACGTTTGAGCACCCAAACAAAAAACCCGGCGAACTAGAGCACGGGCAGAACACAAGTTCAAGAAGGAGTAGGAGCAGAGTTTTTGAGAAGAAAATGTGATTTCAGTTGTGTCTCTCTTGTTTGTAGTTCACTTAAACCTACTGTCCCTACACAAGCTTATATAGGAGATGGAGTACTCAATAGCATTCATGATGGCATTCAAAACACGTTTTGGCTTATATAGGAGATGGAGTACTCAATAGCATTCATGATGGCATTCAAAACACGTTTTGTAAAATGCGTTAAAATTAATTCAGTAACAGATGAATTGATGCCGACGTACACGAGTTCAAGCCCAAACCAAGCCTTTTCAAGCTTAGTTTGGGGTTTGATTTGCACCCCCAGCGCACGAGAAAGAGCCTCTATGCTATACAATTCAATAAATTTTAGAAAGACTCTTGTATAAATAGTGGTGCAAATCCACTTCCCAAACCAATGTGGGACAAAATCTCATTCTTT